AACCGAGGGAGAGAGAGAGAGAGAGAGAGAGAGAGAGATTGATTCATTGTGTAATCTTGGCTGGAACTCTATCCAGCCAGGGTGAATCACAGAGATCCACATGTCTCTCCAGCGTGCTAGGATTAAAGGCATGGGACACCATAAGCAGCCAAAAATGTCTTCTTTAAAAAAAAAAAGAAATGTAAGTCAAGGGCTGGAGATGTAAGCATGCCCTAGATGGAATCCAGCATGGGAAGGGAGAAGGAGGAAAGTAAACATAGATTTGGAAATAGAATTTAAAATGTGAAGAAGCCATAGTAACTAAAATATAACCAGGCTTGCCGGGCAGTGGTGGCACACGCCTTTAATCCCAGCACTTGGGAGGCAGAGGCAGGCGGATTTCTGAGTTCGAGGCCAGCCTGGTCTACAGAGTGAGTTCCAGGACAGCCAGGGCTACACAGAGAAACCCTGTCTCAAAAAAACAATATATATATATATATATATGCTTGATGGCTCATGACTATAGACCAGTGCTTCCCAAACTGTGGGTCATAACCATCAGAAAACGCATATTTCTGGTGGTCTTAAAAACCCCCAACCATAATTTTCATAACTGTAATTTTGCTACTGAGTGGTGTCTCGGTTCCTAAGAACATTGGAAACATGTGTTTTCTGATGGTCACATACAGATTGAGAATCGCTGTCTGACTCACAGGGGACTGAAGAGGGAGGAACCACACAGGAGTTCAAAGACAGCCTGTGCTGCAGAATGAGATTTTGTCAGAGAGAGAGACAGAGAGAGAGAGAGAGAGAGAGAGAGAGAGAGAGAGAGAGAGAGAGAGAGAGACAGAGAGAGAGACAGAGAGAGAGACAGAGAGAGAGACAGAGAGAGAGAGACAGAGAGAGAAAGACAGAGAGAGAGAGACAGAGAGAGAGAGACAGAGAGAGAGAGGAGAGATCACACAAACACACACAAAAGGAGAGTAGGAGAGTCAGAACTTGTTTGGCTCAGAAGCCCAAAGAAAAACGTGACTTCAAATGCCCAACAAGAACTCACGTTTACACCCCACTCCCTCCCCTTCTTGGACACTGGGCCAGAGCAGCAGGCTTGGGAAGCTGTGGAAAGGGAAACCTAAGGATTACAAAGTCATCATTGTTGTTTGGGGTTTGTCAGTGGTGATTTGTTTGGTTTGGGGGGTTCAGGGTATTGCTTTGCAGCCAGACTGGACTGAAAATTCAGAATGTAGCCCAGGCTGGCCTCACTCCTGACTGACGGGATTACAGGTATGTGCTGCCATGCTCAGCTAAGAGTATAAAATTTTGCCTACATGTAACTTTATGTCTGAAAAGTAACTCCTGACTAATTTGAGTTGAATGTATCTTCCTCCTTTGTTTGAAGCTCTGGTTAGTAGTCAATGCCTAGAGCCAAAGCCCAAAACTAGAAAGAGTGGAGGGAGGATGGGGGAGGGTCAGAGGGCAGGGCATGGGGGTGAGTAGATCAAAACACAGTATTCAATGTATAAAATTCCCAAACAACAAAACCAAGAACACCCCCACAGTAATGACAAAAAGCAAGTTTGACTACAAAATATGCAAAAATTCTAATCACTTTGTAGAAGGACAGACAGTTCTACAGCTACACAGCCTCTTGGGGCCTCAGGAAATTCTAATGTTGTCTGTAAGTTTTTCTTCCCCCAATGACCATGAGTCACTGAAAAAAGTTGGAGTTCTTATTTATTCAACCAAGATGAATTACCTGGAGTGCAATGAATAAGGTCAATGGGGCTCATTCATGCATTTGGTCCAACTAGATGGCTAGTGGTCCGGAAGATCTCTTCCTCCCACCTGTTGACGCTAAGCTTTTCTCAAAACTCAAAGTCAAAGTCTAGCAGTGCGGGTGTGACAGCACAGAGGGTTGGAGATCACCCCAAGTTGAAAAGTTCCGTATCAGGATGTGTGAGCGCAGAGCCCACTTAGATTGCCCAAGCAAACCATAGGGACCACCACAAGCTGTCATCCTCTGCCTGCATGTGTGTGTTGTCCCAGAGTTCTGTGGCATGCGTGCACGCATTAGGGAAGCTCAGTGTCTGAACATGGTCTAGAGCTGTGGCAAGATCAGGACCTAAGCCCACCTTACTGCAGCTTTAAAACTGACACCAGCTCTCAGGCCACACCTCTGTCTCTGTCCAGGAAGTTGGTGACATTGGATAATGAGATGGATATGTTGATATCTCTGTTGGCAGCCGGGCAAGGAGATATATGGCATACACATATTCGTATACATGCACACGCACACACACACACACACACACGTATGTACACATACACATAAGCCACACAACACACATACACATGTACACATATACATATGCCACACAACACACACACCCCATAACATTATTCTAGGTCAAAGTATGGAACAGTTTATAACTTAAGGTTGTGCATTTAACTTAGGTTGTAAAAATTTATTGCATGAGAAACCCAAGGCATACTAAGGTTGGTTATATTGTTCCCTTAAAGGCAGGGTAAAATTAGGCTGAGTACACAGTAGGACAGCAAGCTAAGTCTTAAATTATCTCCAGACATATTAAAACTTAGTTGCAAGGTCAGACACAAGCCCAGTCTCCAAAAGCAAGAAATGTCAGAAAATACAACACCACACAATCTGGCCTGGGCAATCCCTCAGCTGGAATTCTTTGAATGGCTCTAGGCTGGGCCAAGCTGTCAGTTAAAGCTAGACCACTCCCACTTGCATCACACTCTATTTCCTTTATTGCCCCTGCCCTAGACAACTAATAATGTACTTTCTGTCACCATGGATTTGTCTGCTCTGGGTTTTCCCGATACATTTAGAATCATATACCAGATGAACATGTTTCAAGTTTATTCAAGATGGTGCTGTGTGTCAATATTCATCATTCCTTTTAGTCTGATTTTTTTCATGGTTAGAACACATTTAACATTAGTTGTTGACTGATTCTTATGAATAGCGAAGCTACAAAAATGTATGCATATCCATCTCATGTTTTGTTTGTGGTCTGGAGGTTGCTTATTATTGCTTGTTGTTATTTTTGAGTCAGTGTCTCTACAGAGCCTCAGCTACCTGGCACCCAACTCCAGAGCCTCCTGCCTCAGTCTCCCCAGCGCCAGGATTCCATGCTCATGCCGCCATTCCAAATCCTCATGTGTTTCTAATTATGTTATAGTAACTAATTATGGTAATCATTGTTAACATCAAAATAAAATCACTGGGACATACAAGTAATGTACATGGTCTCAGCTTCTCCTCTTCATATTTGCCAAAACTATTATTGTCTTGTTTTAAATATAGTCATTTTAATCCCTGTCATATTTGTGTCATTGTGGCATTGATTTTTATTTCCCTAATGAGTATAATGACATGGTGTGTCTTTTAAATGTTTTTACAGTCTCTTACACATTGTCATTAGAGCAACACCTAGTCAACTCCTTTCCCTAGTTTTAATTGGATTACATTTGTTTTGTCTTGTTGAGTTGTAAAAGTTTACTATATATTCTGTATATTTCTTATTAGATATTTGCTACCCAAATATTATAGTCCCTCAATGGGCTGTCTCTTCGTTTTCCTGTCACTACCCACTGATACACACATGTTATATAAACACCCATTTATGAATTTTTCTTTTCATGCATGTGTGTGGCGTGTGTATCCTGGTTTGCTTCCTTGTAAGTACAGACATATATGTACACATGTATGCATGGAGGCATGTGTGTGGTGTGTGTGTCCTGGTTTGCTTCCTTGTAAGTACAGATACATATGTACACATGTATGCATGGTACATATGTACACATGTATGCATGTTGATGTTGGGAATCATCCTTGATCAGTCTTCTATTTTATCTTTGAGCCAGGGTGTCTCAATCAAACCCAGAGGCGGCTGATAGGGCTGATCTAATTAACCAGCTTGTTCACAAAGGATTGATTGTCTGCCTTCCAAGGCAAGAATTACAGGCAGGCTGCCACTTACAGCCACCCAGCAGCGTTTATGTGGGTTTGGGGGGACCTGACCTCTGGTTACCTGGCTTGTGTAACAAGGGCTTGAACCACTGAGCCGCATCCCAGATACTGCCCCCATTTACAATTGTTTGTTTGTTTGTTTTGAGACAAGTTTGCTTAGTGTAGACCTGTCTGTCCTGAAACTCACTTGGGCCGGGCGGTGGTGGCACATGCCTTTAATCCCAGCACTTGGGAGGCAGAGGCAGGTGGAGTTCTGAGTTCGAGAGTTCGAGGCTAGCCTGGTCTACAGAGTGAGTTCCAGGACAGCCAGGACTACACAGAAAAACCCTATCTCGAAAAACAAAAAAAGAAAGAAAGAAAGAAAGAAAGAAAGAAAGAAAGAAAGAAAGAAAGAAAGAAAGAAAGAAAAAGAAACTAACTTGGTAGACCAGGCTGGTCTCCAACTGAAGAGATCCACCTGCCTCTGCCTCCCAAGTACTGGGATTAAAAGAGTAGGATACCACACCCAGCCCCATTTGGTTTTTGTTGATGGTGGTGATGGTTTGGGTTTTTGTTTGTTTGGTTGGTTGGTTGGTTGGTTGATTGGTTTTGTTTTTTTGTTTTGTTCTGGTCTTTTGGTCTTTTGAAACAGGGTTTCTCTGTGTAGCACTGGCTATCCTGGACTTGCTTTGTAGACCAGGCCAGGCTGGCCTCAAACTCACAGAGATCCACCGACCTCTGCCTCCTGAGGGCTGGGACTAAAGGTGTGCACCACCACACCCAGATCGACGTTTGTCTCACGATCTTATCTAAGTGAGCATGAGAAGGCTTTATTCTCATGTTTCTTCTGAGACTATTTTTACACTTTTACCTTTATAATTAAATCCTGGATCTATTTTCAAATATTGTGTGTGTTACAAGAAAGAGCCCACCTTCATCTTATATGCAAATATCCAGTTGTACCCGTAAGATGTATTGAAAGAAAACCCCTCTTTCTCAGTCGTAAAAGAGAAGAAAAGACAGATGTAGAGCTCATGGAAGGTTGATTATTTCTACTTGAACTTTCTGTTTCCCAAATCACTGTTGCACACAATCTTTCTTCAACGTGTATGTGTGTTTGCCTGCATGTATGACTGTGTGCCAATCACATGCAGTGTCTGAAGAGGCCAGAAGAGGGTGTTGAACCTGCTGGGATTGGAACCATTGAGCCATCTCTCCAGCCCCACGATTTCACGGCAAGGAAGCGAGCACAGTTTGGACAGTTTCTGTCATGTTCTATGCACTGGTGGCTATTCCGTTCTCTCTTTTCTCTTCTCTTCTCTTCTCTTCTCTTCTCTTCTCTTCTCTTCTCTTCTCTTCTCTTCTCTTCTCTCTCTCTCTCTCTCTCTCTCTCTCTGTGTTGTTGTTGTTCACACCTGATGCCAGATGGTCGTATCTAGTATGGTGCTATACTAGCCTAATCCTTTTGTACAATTTTAACAATAGACAACCCAGATGCCAGACCTTTCAGAATGCTTATAACTAGGGAAAGAATCGTGGGAGCCTCTCACGTGGGCAAGACTGAGGCTGTGTCGGTCAAACGTATTTTGTGATGCCAGCTGTGGATGCTGATGGTCTGGTTAACACTAGCCCAGGTGAGGTTCCTTTTTTACCATTCTCGAACCAAGTTGGAAGCAGTATTAACTTGGTAGGCTTAAAACTTAATGTTTTTCTAACGTTTGGGGTGTATTGCTGCCCTGTGGGTACTGGACTAAATCACCCATGTTCATTACTTGATATGATGGTGTAGGAATTTAATCTGTGTATCTTACAGGTAGAGAGACAGAGGCTTTAGTTGGGAACAAGGTAGATGGTATTGCCCACATTGTGGAAGTGATAAAATCCAGGTCTTCAGACTATAGAGCAGTGGTTCTCAACCTGTGGGCTGAGACCCCTTTGGAAGTCGAGCGACCTTTTCACAGGGGTCACCTAAGACCATCAGAAAGCACAGATATTTACATTATGACTCATAACAGTAGCGTAACTACAGTTAGGAAGTAGCAATGAAAATGATTTTATAGCTGGGGTCACACATGTGAGGAAGGGTATTAAAGGGTCACAGCCTTTGGAAGGTTGAGAACCACTGCCAGCCTAGAGTTTGATCCTCAGCTGCTTCAGTGATTGCTTCCCTCCGCTAACAGCCCCCAGAAAGCAAACAACTCTCACTCTGATTGTCCCAAGGAAGAATAGCAAACTGGCTCCCCAGAGCCCTCCTTGGTTTTTCTTTAGTCATTACTTTATTAATTTTCTTTAGCTGGGCTAGTGAAATGCCTCAGTAACTCCTGAGAGTTGTCCTCTGATCGTCACACATGCACTGTGGCATACATGTGTGCACATCCTCACACACACACACACACGTAATAAAAATTTTAAAACTAAATGTGGGGCTGATGAGGTGGCACAGCAATTAGGAGCACAGTCTGCCCTTCCAGAGGACCCAGGTTTAATTACCAGCCCCCACAACTATCTGTTACTCCAGTTCCAGGGGAGCTGACACGCTTCTGGCCTCCACAGGCACCAGGCATACAAGGGGTGCACAAGCATACATGCAGGCAAATACCCATAAACATGAAACAATTTTAAACTGTTTTTTAGAAAACTAGAAAATAATGTGGGTTCCTGGTTGTTTTTTATTATTAAGGGATTTTGTAGTTCTGAGACTCAAACAGGAGTGTTTTATTCTAAAAATCCTCTATTTTGTTTGCCTTTCGTTGATGTTAGAAGTTGAAAGGTTAATTGTCCATGCACGGCTGCTTTTGTTCTCATAATTCGCTGGCCTTTGCACTCCAGTGTAGAAGCTTTTGAATTACAGGAGCACTGCCAAGCAGCCACGGATGTAGAAGCATCGTTTGTTGTAGGTGAAGAACATGACTCCGGAAGCCCTTGTATGTGATGTGAGCCCTCGGGTCCCTATGGCGCGAACCCACACACACTGCCTGTGGTGCTCTCTCAAGCGCATTTCTCTCTTACAATGTTTGCCTCAGTATCTAACATCTGGAGAGAAAGCAAGCTACCAGCATCACGGGGAACTGCGGGAACTGCGACAGAACCTGCACCGCCTACAGATCCTGTGCAACTCGGCGGAGAAGGAGCTGCGGTACGAGCGGGGCCGGAGCCTGGACTTGAAGCAACATAACAGTTTGCTCCAGGAGGAGAACATGAAGGTAACTGACCCGCACAGCCTGTCCTGCAGGCTCTCAGTCGCAGTCCAGCCGGGGAGAGCTAAGTCACGGTTCTCGGCATTACTGCTCAAAATCCTCAAAATCAATCCACGGAAGGATGGGCAAGCCAACTGTTCATTAACTCCCCGCTTCCTCTCTCTCTCTCTCTCTCCTGTCAACAGGGTGCAGATGCCATCAGTCCCTAAACACAAAAAGGCTACAGTGACACGGTCCTGTTGAAAGCCTTATCTCAAATGTTTGTTTGTTTGTTTGTTTTTCCTTTTTCCTTTTTTTTTTTTTTTTGGTTTTTCGAGACAGGGTTTCTCTGTGTAGCCCTGGCTGTCCTGGGCTGGCCACTCTGTAGACCAGGCTGGCCTCGAACTCAGAAACCTGCCTACCTCTGCCTCCCAAGTGCTGGGATTAAAGGCCTGCGCCACCACTGCCCGGCTAAACATTTTTTTTTTTAAAGATTGATTTATTTATTTTATGTATATTACTGTAGCTGTCTTCAAACACACCAGAAGAGGGCATCAGATCCCATTACAGATGGTTATGCACCACCATGTGGTTGCAGGGAATTGAACTCAGGACCTCTGGAGTCAGAGCGGGACTTTAGAGCAGTCAGTGCTCTAAACCACTGAGCCATCTCTCCAGCCCCTTATCTCAAATTTTTTAACATTCATTTAATTTCAGTGACTGGTCTCCTAGCATTAGTTGCATATAGCCAGGTTTATCTCTCCTCAGTAAATGTATTAATGGGGGGGGGTCACAGATTGGTAGTTGTTTTTTGAAATACATAACCATTCAAATCAAGGCACCATATAAATAATGTATCCTTCCGGATACATTCAGTTCTACAAATATACATTACAGACTTGGTTTCTAATATATACTAGAAATCCTATATAAGGTTCTAAATTTCACTGTTGAGGGACTGGCGATGGAGCTCAGTTGGTAGAGTGCTTGCCTAGAATGTAGGAGGCCCAGGGTTAACCCCCAGCACCACCAAACTGGGGGTGGCAGAAACCTGGAGTGTCAAACAGAAGGCCTGGGAGATGAGCTTGTTTGCTTTGAGACAGTATCCTGTAGACCAGGCTGGCCTTGAAGTCACTGTGACGCAACACTGATCGTATTCCTATGACTAAGATCCCCATGAAGACTCCTCATCTTGTTCTTGTCACCACATGTCAAATGCCGAGATCACAGGCACACGTCACCATGTCCAACTTAACTCTGGACATACTCAAGCAATATTATGCTTTCTTTTGATACAGTGACCAAAATGACACAAATCCCAATTGACCCCTTATAAATATGATTCAATAGGCAATCTTTTAGAAATGAAAAAATGATCACTTCATAAAGAGAGAAGGTGCTGTTGACTGTTTGAAGCCTCTCTCTCGGAGCCAGGCGTGTAGCAGTGTCGTGTACAGTAACTACCGTTTATGTACAGTTTGAGCTTATCACACTCATAAACCTCCTCAGAGTTGTTAGGGCCACCAGAGTCGCAAAGCTAATGGACTATAGACTCTGAATTGAAACATGAGTGGATTTGACTTTCCACATTGCACCTTTCCTCGGCCTGGAGTCATTTTGGGACCTTAGATTTGCAGACATAGGGACTGTGTATGTGTGTGTGTGTGTGTGTGTGTATGTGTGTACACATGCATGTACATGTATGTGGTGTGTGCATGCATGTGTGTGGTATGTATGGATGTGTGCCTGTGTGTATGTGTGTGTACATGAGTGCAGGTACTCACGGAGGCCAAAGGCCTTGGATAGCCTGGAATAGGAGTTACAGGCAATTGTGAGCCTCTGATGTGGGAGCTGGGAATGTGCCACCAAGGCCGTCTATGCTCATACGCACCGTAGGACTGATTTCCTAAAGTTCACTCAGATGATCAAACTCTGGGTCTCTACTGTTAGACATGCTAGAGTAATTAACATCCCAGAATACTAATTTTGTTACCTTTGAACCATTTTGTTGTGGATTATACTACCAAGAATGTGCATAAAGTAATGATATGCAGTTTAACACATTACAAAATGAATGTCAGTGGACGCCACCTAGAACAATATAAAACAAGCCATGACACTGGAGGCTCTGAAAACTTTCTCTACCGCTATCGAAGTCACTTCCTCCATGCCACCGGGAACTCTGAGACACTGTACTGGATCCTTTTTTAGGCTGGAGACAGAGGTCGTTGGCTTAACAGCTCTTAACCAGTGCAGTCTGACTTCAGCAGCATCTCTAAACCGTGGCTGTGGGCTCCATCACAGACTCTCACAGCCTTCAGCTTTCCTGGCCTGGGGAGTCAATGGACAGTGTGCCAGGCAAGGACAGTGTCCTCCAAATTAGCAATGAGAGGCTTGGAGTTCATGACCCTGAAGCAATTGGTGCACCAAACACCTCTTTGCTTTCTTCTTTTCCTTGAGTCCAGTGCCCTGCTCACCCGTTGGACTTGCTGAGTTTTCTTGAAGCAAGGTTGTGAAGAAATGAGAACTCTGAGCTTTCTGATAGGCCAGAGTTCCTTTTGAGAAAAAATGAGCCAGGAACAGATTTGTTCTTGCCAGTAATGTTTGAAAAGTACCACCAGCCCTCCAAGGGTACACCCCTGTTTCTGTTTCAGTACCAGATGTAAGGAGAACTGAGACATTTTACTGTTTTAATGGAGGGAAAAAGTGAGAGTTCACCAGGAATGGGAACCTTTATAATGCCCAATCTAGAATTTCTTCTTGGTGTTATCATAGAGACAAGGCTAATGGTAATTTGTTTTCTGTTGACTTATTGACCCATCAATGACAGGTGACCAAGCCAGCTCAGTCAGTCAACAGGGTCTCGAGGGAGGGAGTGAGGATTAAAGAAAGAAAAGACTATTAGACAACACGATAACATGAATCCAGCCAGTGCTGAGGCTGAAGCGGATTTACTTTTTTCCAGTCTGCTTTATATCATTCTGTTGCGGTAAATCTCCAACCCAAATAGGACCGTTCAAAGAAAACATAACTCAATAATTATGAATACAAACTGCACGCCTAGATTGGGCAGATTCACCACTACTTTACTCTATTCCCCAGCTATGAGATCCCTCATAACTTGTGGGTTTTCCAGGCCATGTCCTTCTCCTCTGGTCGTCTGCCACTTCCTCTCTCTCCCAAACTATTTCTGTTCCACCTCCCCTTCTGCTGCCCAATCACCAGCTCTAGCCTTTATTTTACAAATTAAGGTGGGCAGAAGGTTCACAAGAAATTACCTGTGTACTGATTCGCTCCTGCTGCCCCACCCAGGAAATCAGAATTAGCATCAAAATACAAGACCAAGGCTATCCACAACATCATTCTAAGCACATACAAAGAATAAGGTCAGTCCTAAAGCAGAAACAAATTAGTCAAGGCATAACAAGCAAGGCATAAACAGAATAGAGAGGAAACAAACAAAGATCCCATGATTATTGTACTTAGGGTCTTAACAAGACCCATCAAGATACAAAGAACACATTCCTCAGCTGTATTCATCTTGAGCCTACTTCCTTGTCCTAGCCCAATGTCAAATTCCTGCCAAATTCCTAGAAGACAGCCCCAAAAGCTCTCCACAGACAGGGAGGCATTTGGCATTGGTTATAATTTCATGATACATTTTTTCTTCTCCATATGGCTTGACTCTGTGTGTGTGTGTCAGGTCTTAAACCCAGTGCCTTGGGAATGCTTTCTATCATTTAATTGCATCCTTGGCCCTGTTTTTATGATATTTACTTATGCCCCAACTCTAGATCAAAATTGAACTCAAGCAGGCCCAGGAGAAGTTGCTAGACAACGCCAGGATGCACTCCTCACTCACAGCAGAGTGGAAGCACTGTCAGCAGAAAGTCAAGGAGCTGGAGCTGGAAGGACTTAGGCAGACGCAGAGCCTTAAATCCCAGCAGGGCCTACAGGAAAAGCTGGCTCGGGAGAAATTGAAAACAGCAGAAGCACAGGAAAAGGTAACTACCCTATGCTCAGGAAGCAGGGCACACAGCTGGAGCCCTCTCCCCAGGAGACCTTAAGACACAAGTGTGTGCAAGCATTGGGCCAGCTAATCTTTCACTTTGCCCTCCCCATCTCTTCCTCTCTTTAATAATTTTATGTCATCTGCCCCTACCATTCTAACAAACCTTGAAAACTGCATGAAGTTAAAAATGTAAGCTTCTGGGGCTGTGGGAATGGCTGGAGCAGTGATGTGCTTGTCGCACAGGCATGAGGACCTGAGTTCAGATCCCCAGAACCCTCAGTGCATGCCTGTAATCCCAGCTTTAGAGAAACAGAAAAGCAGGTCAGCCAGCCTAGCTGAAATAGTGAGCTCCAGGCCAGCAAGAGACCCTGTCTCAAAAAACAAGATGGAGAGAGTCAGAGGAGGCCACCCCTTATCATGTATACACATGTGTACTTACACACATGCACCTCTCTATATGCTGTAGGATTTTCAGGTCTCAGTTTGAAAAGAATCTCACTGTCCTAGGATACATCCCGGGAGGGGCACATTCCTTAGTCAGAGGATACTTGCTGGATTAACATTCAGAGGAGGAAGGGAGAGGCTGATTAACATTCCTCTGACCACAGGGGAGGGAACCCACCTGCAGGTAAGGAGGGCCCAGAGCATAGATACATTCCAGGAATCAGGAAGCTGAGCCCTTAATGTAATAAACCTGACACTCCTTGTCACAATCTGAGTCACCTAGGGACCGAACCCGGAAAAGTCAGACTTTGTGGTTTGCCCTCGTGAACTGTACTGTACCCATAAATACTGTACTCAGCTCTTATTCGGGGCTCTCTCTCTTACCTGAATGTGAGAAGGTCCTAGTGCACTGGTTTCATTAAACTGAACCTCATGTGATTGCTGATTGCAGTGAGTCCTGTCCGTGTGCGTTTCTGTGGGAGTGCGTCCCCTGGGTTAGATCTTACAGTCCAACAATGCAAATGTATATTTAATTAAAGCTATACTATGAACTTAAAACTGATTGAAGCCATAGGACATTTGTACTTTTTAATTTTAAAGAAGTTATTTTTCTCTCATTTGAATTGACTATATGACTTATTTTGTAATCTTTTAAAAAAATTAGACTTATTTATTTTGGTGTGTATGTATGAGCGTTTTGCCTGCATATATGCATTTGTGTGCACCACATGTGTGCCCGGTGCCTGAGAAGGTCAGTAGAGGGTGTTGGGTCCTCTGGAACTGGAGTTACAGATGGTTGTGAACTGCTGTGTGGATGTTGGGAACCGAACCCAGGTTGTTTGCAAGTGTAGGCAAGTGCCCTTAACCATTCAGCCCTCTCTCCAACCCTATTTGTAATTTTTAGAGGGGATGAGTGAAACAGAGTTTCTCTGTGTAGCCCTGGCTGTCCTGGAACTCACTCTGAAAACCAGGCTGATCTTGAACTCAAAGTTCCACCTGCCT